TCATCACTTCCGGTATTACAGGAAGTGATGAAACGGACCTATAATTCGGCCTGAGAAGCCTTGCAGAGGCTTTTTCCAAGCCTCTGGGAGGCAGAAAAAGGCCTCAAACCAACTGAAAAAAAAATCAGCTGTGAGGCGTGGGCATGCGCAGTGAGGTAAGTTTGCCTGCGGTTCACATGCCAGCACAAATGCCTCAGTGTGCCACTTGTGGCACGCGTGCCATAGGTTCACCATCACAGCCCTATACCCTATACTATTATGGACAAATTTCTTCTTAAAAACCTCCAGTGATGGTGTATCTCAGCTTCTGAAGACATCCCATTCCTGTGATTAATTGTTCTCACTGTTAGGAAATTTCTTATTTCTAGGTTGGATCTGTTTGATAAATTTCCATCTCACAGATCTTCTCACAGTTACTTCCAGTTGAGCCAGGCAACACCTATTCTATACCTGTGTATTTGGTTTTTTTCTTGCCTAAGTGTAAAATCTTACTTTACTCTCCATTAAATTGCATTTTTGGTGAGAAATGATGTACTACAGTGGCATTCAGATTACAATGATTTTTGCAAAATGTACTAAAGCTTGAAGAATATATCTCTGCTTATATTGATAAAGATTATTATTTTTGAACATTAAAGTATATAGCCAAGCAAATATTTCTAACCCATTATAAATGAAAACACATTTGGAGCTGCCCAGGAAAATGCAAAAACACATTCTCACAGTGGCAGCGCGCACTTAACTGAAGCACATGGGCTAGTGAGGGGTGGCTAGCAGAGGGGCAATGTGGGTGGTGTAGCCTCATGCTCCTTGGTCTCCCCCCACCCCCCCACTGGCAGGCGAGGCCCAGCAGCTCCGGAGAATCTGGGTGCGAGGTGAGATGTGGGCTGTGGGGGAGCTGTGCAGTGACAGTTCAGCCCTGGCTCACCACATCTAGCCTCACTTTCGTTGCCAGCAGTTTAGACATTAATAGCTGTGTGTTGCATTATTTTGAGGGGACAGCACATTTGCACTGTTATACAAGCTGTATACTCACTACTTTATATTGTAGCCAAGTGTCATTTCTTCAGTGTTGTCACAGATATACTTACATATTTACAAAATGTGAGGAGATCTATTCACTTCTGTGATATTCTGTATGATGTTAAAATGATATAACATAATATGATATAATAAATATAATACAATATAAATCTAAATATAATTATAAGCTTACCAAAAAGCAACAGGAAGAGCGTCCCCCAAACAACAATTTTCTGGGTATAGCTCCCACTAAAAACAACAGAAAACAACAAGAAAAATCAAGAATTAATCTCACATTTGGTCCCAAGTTCTTAAAATACCATTCTGATATTCACCTTAATCTTCTGTTTACTTAATTGGTTCTATAGGATACAGTTTCCAGAATAAAAAGATCCAAGAAACTGTTACATGTAGTCCTCAACCTGCAACCACAACTAACCCCAAAATTTCCATTGCTAAATGAGACATTGTTAAGTGAATTTTGTCCCATTTTACAATCCTTTTTGCTACAGTTGTTAAATGAATCACTGCAGTTGTAAGTTAGTAACACAGTGGTTCAGTGAATCTTGTGTCCCCATTGACTTTGCTTGTCAGAATCTTGCAAAAGGTGATCATATGATCACAGGACACTGCAACCGATATAAATATGAGCCAGTTGTCAAGCATCCAAATTTTGATCATGTGATCAGGAGGATGCTGCAATGGTTGCATGAAAATTTATCATAAGTAACTTTTTTCAGTGCCATTGTAACTTGTCACTGTTGACAGTGGTCACTAAACAAATTGTTTCAAGTCGAGGACTACCTGTACATAAACAGGTGGCTGCAACTATCACCGATATCTGTGAAAAAATCTATTGCTCTGCCTTTCAGCATCACAGGAAAACTGTTAGAAAGAAAACCAAAAGTCCCCATTCTATTGCATGTGATCTTGTATTCATTTTAAATGAGAAACAGTTCAATTACTTAAATGTTATAACTCATTCTCTGAATAAATGTTATTCTACATTCTCTGAATAAATTTTGGTAAAGAGACTGGTAATCGTAATGCATTTGGAAAGAATCTTTGCTTACTTGCAGCTGCCCAAAGCTGACAAGTTTTAGGTTTTATTACAAAATTAATTTTTACTTTAGCTGAATGTTTAAATCAGAAATAAACTTTGTACTTTTATAATAAGGATTACTATACCTGGGTAAAATATATATTTACTGTTTTCTAGTGATTATCTAGATTTCTTTATGACCTGCATCTGATAGCTTTATTTTAAAAAATCTGGCTCTATGTGTTCATGAAGATGTGTGCCACCAATACAACATCTTTGCACTAATTGCTAATTAAGATAAAATGAATTATGAATTCTTTAGAGCACTATTTCCCAATTGTGGCAACTTCCTGAATTTCAGCTCCCAAAGGTCTCTCCAAGAGCAAAGTGTCAGGGTTCCAAGTAACACCTCCAACCACGTATGACTCCAAGGCCAGCAATTCGTCAAAATTTCATTTTATTAGAGATGTCATATTGGCACATCTGGGGAAACCCGAATCTCAAAGTCCTCAGGTTTTCCTCATCCAAAGGAAAATCCAAGTGCCTTCCCCTGTACCCACATGTCCATCACATGGTCCAATCAATCCACCAACCCAACTGGAGATGTTCCCCAGTCATGCCTCTCCAAGTGCAGGCTGAACACCCTTGACTCCCAGAAAAAAGAATGTTATGACTATATATCTCCACCAACTTCATTCAACCCCCCCTCCTGTTTTCCCACACTAAATGTGTCAGCCCTGAAAATCCAAAGAAAAAGATGGCCTCCAGGGCTGACACAAAGTTCTTGTGCAAAGCAACAAATACAGGTAATCAGGCTTATTGGGCTTTCTTCGTAGTGGAAAACTATGTAACTCTACTGATTTTAAAGGGCCCAATTGGTACCTTTTTGGTTTTTACATTCCAAAGTATAATTTTAAAACAGCATAAAAATAAATTATGTTAAAAGCAAAGCTCAGCCTCCATAATCCATTTCCTTTGAATTCCAGATGTTTACAGCTATTCTTACTTTAAAAAAAAAAGTGGCAGTGGCCCAATGCTTTCTTTGTATCTGTGTACTTCCTTATTTTCTTGTACTTATGTATTTCAGAAAGATCTGAAGAACATCAATCTTAAATGGAATGATGCAGAGACTGTAGCTGCAGACCAAAAACTATGAAGTACACTTGCAGTCCAATGTGTTTAGCACAGGACATGATAATAATAATACGTATTTCCTGCCTTAACAGTCGTTTCTTTGAATATTCATGATTCACAAATTGTTCAGTGGAGCCAGCTGGACCAGAAATGTTCAGTACTTATGTACTAGGGTAGCTATCTAGCATAAGTTTTGGCATGCTTGAAAGCACAATGGTGACCACTAATGAAAACTTTCCTCTAATATAAAAAAGCAAATCCCAATTGCTGTCCATACAGAAGATCTCTCCTTACTACTAGGTGATACCAATCCATTCATCCTTAATTGTGAAAAAAACGGTGACTATTCACTTATAGTGATAATGTTAACTGCTTAGTCTTATTTGCTTAGAAAATGATAATATATGTTTCAAAGAAACTCTAAGAAACTCTTTCCTTTCAAAAACCAAATAGCATGGAATATAAATAAATATCCTTAAATTATATTCAGATTTATTCTAGATAGTATTTTTATTAATATTAAAAGAAAATGCAAATTAGTTCTGAAATTACTATTGATGTGATTTTTGGATTTCCAATAGTAGAGGTGAAAATAGGACTTGAAAAATAGCATAAGTTTGCAAACAAATGCATATTTAAAAAAAATAAAACTACTGGATAGTCATAATTTATTCTTCAAAAAGATTCTTGATCCACTTTACCTTGATATAAAGGAGAATAATTTTTTCACTAAGCAGAATGGAGTTATTAGGCTTAGAACTATCAAATTATAGATGAGTCTGAGCATACTTCCTGGAAAAATACATAGAAGGATACAATCAAACAATACTATATATGATTAGAATAACTTCAAAATACATGAAAGTTCTACGTGATTAATTTTTTCCTGAATTATTTAGTCAGATTTATTTAGTGTACAAAGTTTCTTTGCTAGAGCACAATAACTATTAAGTTTTGAGGGAAAACTAATTTTACTTATTTGTTTAGAACAAATTTTGGATGCCCATGTTAAGCAGCACTGGACAGTTTACAAGCAATACACAATAGAAAATCAGCATGATAAAACTCCTACAAACCAAATAAAAAATATAATTAAAAATAGTAGTAATACAATAACTAAGGGACCACATAACTAGCTCACAACATTATAACAAATATTCAGCTTGTCTAAGTTCTTTAGTTCTGGAGGAGATTGTGCTACCCCAGAGAGATCCAGTGTTCAATCTGCACTCAATCACTCAAGTCCCTGTCATCTCATGCATGGACTACTGTAATTCATTTTACATGGGCTACCCTTGAAAAGAATCCAGAAGTTCACTTGGTGCAGAACACAACTGCACTGGCTGCCAGCGTGCTTCCAGGTCCAATTCAATGTGTTGGTTATTACCTTTAAAGCCTTCATAGCATAGGTCCAGCCTATTTGAGAAATCGGCTGAGACTGATGGGATTACCCTCCCACATGTGTTGGCAGAAGGGGCATGCAACAGACCTTGTCAGCTGAGGAATTTCAGCTAAAGAAATGCCTTAATTGCCATGGCTCCTACACCTTGTCTCAAGATCAGATCCAATCCCACTCTTTTCACCTTCCAAAAGGCCTTGAAGACATGGTTATGACAACTAGCTTGGGGTCCTAATGGGTGTATGGCACTTTGGAGGTGGCTAATAGAATAAAGAACATCTCACTTCCTGTGTGCACTTTGTTCCTTCTATCTCCATCTTTCTTAGTTTTATTTTAATTGATTCTTTAAATTAAAGACTTTTATTTATTGTTTGATTTTTTAAATTCTGCATTGATTCAATACCTATGAACCACCTAGAATCACTTTGGGCAAGATGGGTGGCATACTATTTTGATAAATAAACAAACAACAAACAAGCATGGCTTTAACTGCATAACAAACTATTTCATTAACATATAATAAAACTCAGCAGTGTTTATTAGATAGTTTACAGAATTCAAAAAATAAGGCAATATAGAAGCAATCACAAGCAGTTTCCTGTCAGTGATTCAACACAATAATCTATTGAACAGAACTTGCTATATGAAAACACTCCATGAAAGACATGTAGCCCACATATTAACCATAGGCCACATGCTGTCACTGCTGATATTAGGAGATGGACATATATCTCATAAGCATTAAAGTTAAATTTACTCTGGCATGTAGAGGCCAACACAGTACTCCTATAATACAACATCGACAATAAAATCATCCAAATGCCGGAAGAAAACCAACAAAAGACAATCAATCTGCCACTCTCATTATCCTAATATACATCAATACTGTGACAGAGAAATATGCTTCCTAGTTCTTATTAAGTGATATTACTTATGGATGAGACTTAGAGCATGCTAACTTGGCCCAGTTTTTTGGAAGGGCAAGCACAAAAGTAATTCTTGACCTTTCCTACAGAATATTTCAAATTCTAGCATAAATACAGATGTTAATTAAATTGGCTTAGTAATTTTGTTTTTTTATTTTTTATTTTTTTATTGATAAACAAAACTTTTTTGTCAAAGTTAATTCAACCATTGTTTAGGTTCACAAATCTACCACTTGTAGTAGATTCATCAATTTCAAAAAATTAGTTCCATTATTTTCAGTGAAACCAATCGTAAGAAAAAAGTCTGGATCCAAATTATAAGAACTTACTTTTGGCTGGGCATGGAAATTGTGCATTTTTTCGATTATGACTGAAGAGAGGATGGCTGTCCATACAGCTGCAAGATAATTTTTGTCCTTGACGTAAACTATGGAATGAATAAAACTTTATATTGCAAAAGAATATAAAAGCATAAGGTTTTCCAGATTAATCAGACTGAAAAAAATATACTTAATTCAGCATTTGGGGGGGGAAGAACATATATAACTTATGAAGCATCTAAGATTACATAAAGATTATGATCGGTTATTGCTTGTCTTTAGTCTATACCTTTCAAAAATACTGCTTTTGTACATGAGAGCTGTAACAAACTCAATATACATCAAAGAACACGTAATTAAATGAATATACACAGATACTTCCTGTTGAAAGTCTATATCAGGGATGTCAAGCTGGATTTCTTCAAGGGTTGGACCAGCATTGGAGTTTTCTTCCAGGGACCAGCTTGTGGGGGGAGAGACGGGACGGACGCCTCCTGCACCACCCTGCCAGCCAAAACTGGGTGCGGGTTAGGGTTAGGGCTCTGCCCCCAGTGCAGCCCATTTGGCCAGCAAAGTGCTGTAGGAGGCTGTCCTAGCTAAAAATGCTGCCTTTGGTCCGATCTAACTATAGTATATAAAATCATACATTGCAATGTCCTACCTGTCAATGAATACTTCAGCTTCAACCATAACAACACAAGAGCAAACAATAGATACAAACTCAAGGTTAATCGCAACAAACTTGATTGCAGGAAATACGACTTCAGCAACAGAGTGGTCAATGTCTGGAATACTCTACCTGACTCTGTGGTTTCTTCCCCAAACCCCAAAAACTTTAACCTTAGACTGTCTACTATTGACCTCACCCCTTTTTCTTATATGTATCCATGTATTCATAACCATGTTTTTACTTATACCTATTATTTTGTAAGCAATTGACAAAAATAAATAAATAAATAAAAATGCGGTGTGCGGGGGCCATGTGCAGGCCCCCCCCCATGCCCCATTTTGGCTGCCAGAGGCACCACGGGTCACTCCTTTGCTACTTCCAGGCCGGCACTGTGGGTCAGATGTAAGCCTTCAGTTTGACACCCCTGGTTTATATTGTCAGATATTTAGAGTTTCCTGCATCCATATTCAGTCTCATGCCTGATTTCTATGTAGACTGAAATCAGAATATATATGACCCAATTACCTGATTCTTCAGTTTGATTTTTTTTCATCTAACAATTGTTTTACCTCCTTAGCAATATATTGTTTAAATGAAATCTTTACTTCTTTTCTTTTTTGCAATATCTGATAAAAATTAAGGTCTTTCCTATGCTGTGAAGATTTAAGATTTAAAGAAATTACTCTCCCAAAGTATACTTAAGAGATTCCTTCATTAAAGTAATTAATTAAATCCCATTATAAATTGTTTTAGAGGAAATTATTACTGTTTCTCTACAATAACTAGCTTTCATATAGAATCACTAGATATTTTAATAACTTTCAATACCATCAGCAACAGTACATTTTTGGATTATCTGAAATACTGATTCTGATTTTTAGCCAATCTCTCAATAGCCTTGCCAGCAGACTGCATTCCAACACTGAGTAACTATATCAGGAATCCTCAAATTCATTGTCATATCAACCCCTTAATTTTGGTCCTGTTCTTGTTCTTTGAGGAATTTGCGTGCTTCGGAGTTCTGCTTTCTATGGGTGAATTACTTGGAACGCTGACACTGGCCTCATGACCATGGAAATGACCATTGATGGGAAGGCAACAGTGGTCCATAACATCATGCTGGCCACATGACCATGGGCAGCATTGGCTCAATGGCTTTGAAATGGAGATGAGCATCTCTCCCTTAGCAATGACTAGCTGAGTAAAATTCACAGGGCCTCCTTAAGTACAGTATAGATTTAAAGTTCCCTATATGTAACGGATAATCATACAGTCATTTTCTATTTTAACTTCTATTTGTGGCATATCACTGTAGCTAGTTTCACACATATTACTAAGACATAAGTCAAAACAATTCATACTATTTATTGTTTGTTAAGAAGTATTTCTGGATTCATCTTTTTATTGGGTGTCAGAGATGAAGCTTCAGGCAGAGGTAGTCTGTACACTAGCTTATTGAAAACTACATTCACAAGGTACTGATTGGTATCACTATTCAGGGGTTCAAGTTTCATCCAAAATCTTAAGAGACCTTTCAATTTCTTCTGTACATTTTCATAGAAAATTATTCTTATCATATTGTTATATAAGACGTTCCATTTAATTTGTTTAAAACAACCAGCATCTATACATATCTATTGAATTACAATATATTGGTATAAATTCTTGAATGAGTGCACGTTTCAGCACATTGAATTTAACAAAGCAGATATTGCAATATTCATTTCAAAATTAATTTAGAAAACTGATTACATAAAAACAAATTTGGAAGGTACTTTGAAGATCTTGCAATCCAACCCCCTAATCAAGCAAGAGGCCTTATACCATTCTCGACAGATGGTTGTCCAATCTCTTGTTAAAACCTCTAGTAATGGAGCACCCACAACTTTTGGAGACAAGCCATTTCACTGATTAATTGTTTTGTCAGGAAATTTTTCCTTAGTTCAAGGTTGGATTTCACCTTGATAGGTTTCTATCCATTACTTCCTGTCTTAGCCTTAGTTGCTTTAGGGAATAGGTCGAGCCCCTCTTCTGTTATAGCCCCTCAGATAGTTTTAGTTGGTATATATATAAATTGCTGTTTTCATTAGGATGAATAACCATGGTGTGTAAGGAGAAAACCATTAGTCAGAAAATTAAATTACCAAATAGAGATTTGGGTAGTACATGTATGTAACAAACTAAGGTGAATACGGATTTTTAAAATCATTTTGTTTGGCATGCTATCCTAAGAGTTTCGAAAAATAAAACTCTCACTTAAAATGCTTCTTTGGTTATCATTCCAAAAAGCTTTCTTGAGAAAAACAATGATAATAAGACCAATCTGATAGACTTGTAATGAAATAATATATTTTTGTTCAAGATGAACCTAGATTAAGAGGAAAGAAGGAAACAAAAGGGTATGCTCATCTATTTACAATTAAAAGAAATATTTAATTTATGTAAGAAAAACCATGGTTTTGAATTTGCATCACGTGAATTTGAAATTGCACAAGGATAAATTTTCTGAAAGTCAATACAATTAATGAATGGAATAGCATGCCTTCTGGAGGTATGGGTGCTCTGTCACTGGAGATTCTCAAAAATAGATTGAACAACTGTTTGAATGTGATAGTATAAGTCTTCTTTGTTGAGCAGGGGGTTGGATTAGAAGACCCCTGAAGTCCCTTCCATCTCTATGATTCTATATTATTACAAAGGTTTATAAAATGTTGAAACTGAGTATGTTAAAGACTGAAATGGGCAAAGAATTATAATAATATGATTGAACAATGGGAAAATATGTGGACAAATGGGCTGAAGTTTACATTGGGATTTAATCTGAAATAAATTACTATCAAAAAAGTTATCATTGGTATTCAATGCCCGCAAAATTCTTAAAGATGTATAACGGAATTTCAAATATATTCTGGTGATGCAACTGTAAATACTACTTTTTATCATCAATAGTGGACTGCATCAAAACAAAGAAATATTGGGACGTGATTTTATTTTAACTCAGAAGCTTCTTAAAATAAATATAAAACAGAAACCAGCAGTTTTCATTTTGGTTTAATGAATAACTTGACAGTGGTGAGAATCTTACATGCAAAAAAGATAGAATACACTAATCCACACACTAGGATAGTGATGGCGAACCTATGGCACATGTGCCAAAAGTGGCACTCAGAGCCATCTCTCCAGACATGCCAGCCGTCGCCCATTACTCTTCTGGGTTTCAACATGCTGGCCAGCTGGACTTCACATGTGCATACACACCAAAAAACAGAAGAGCAGCCACCCAATGCGCATGTGCATGCTGGGAAGATGATCTTCTGGTTCCCAGAGCATGCATGCGCACCAGCCACCTGATCTTTTGGCTTCTGGAGCACATCTGTGCATGAAGACTCTCTGGCTGGTGCACATGCATGCCAGAAACTAGAAGATCATCTTCCCAGCAGAGCTGCCAGCCAGGCACTCTGGACTGTGGACACACGTTAGTGCTGCTGGCTGGTGGGCTAGGGCCATGGAAGAAGCCTGCTCGGGCGGGGAGGAAGGAAAGCCCCAGCCCACCCGTTCTGGCCAGCAGCTCTGTTCCCCTTGCTCTTCAGGGTTCCGGCGCACTGGCCGTCTCGGACATGGGGCAATTGACCACCCAGACAGCAAACGCTGCCCTGCCCACTGCTCCTGCCACCACTGGGGGCAAGAGGGTGATGGTAGTTCACATGCACAGCCCCGCCTCCCCAAAAGAGCAGCACCAGCAGGCACAGGGAGAAAGACAGGAGAGAGTACCGCCATGCTGGGGCTGACGGGCAGGCAGTGGTGCACACATGCAGCCCCGTCTCCCCAAAAGAGCAGCAGCAGCAAGCACAGGGTGAGAGACAGGAGCAAGAACCACTGCCACCCTTTCACCCCAGCAGCAGTAGGAGCAGCAGGCAGGGCAGCGTTTGCTGGCTGGGAGGTCAACTGCCCCACCCGCTGGTCCTGCTGCTGCCAGGGGTGAAATGGCGGCAGAGGTTCTTGCTCTTGTCTCTCACCCTGTTGTGGCTGCCATTGCTGCTCTTCTGGGGAGGCAGGACTGTGCAGGAGCTGACTCCACATGGGAGAAAAGTCTGTCTGGCACTAGGGGAAGAGGTACACTGGCCAGAAAGCAATCACACTCCCTTGGCAGAAGTAAGGGGGGGTTCCGCTGGCTTGTTCTCAGTGATGGCCTGGAGAGGGGTGCTTCATTCCAGCCCACATGCTGGCTCCCCAATCTAAGGCATTCCCTGCCCACCTTTCTTTCCCTGTGGCTGTGGAACTGGGTCATCAGTGGGGATGTCCCCATCCTCCCAACTGGGACCAGGGGGTGGGCAGGGAAGAATGAGGACCCCCTCAAAAGGCCAGATGGAGCCAGCACATGTGCAATGGCCAGCTGGCCTTCG